TTGTAGAGCAGCAGCATTTGAGACTTTGCAGTTGTGACATGCTCTACTCTCCACTGCCCAGCACACGTACTTGAAACGAAACCTGGGTGATTGAAAAATTCTATTTTTATTTTTATCTCAATTACTTCTAAATTTAAATATCCACATGTGGTGGGTAGTCACTGTACTTGACAAGGCAGCCAGACACAAGGCAGACAAAAGGGCAGGTCTACAAGGAGCACAAACCCTTCCTGCAGTAAGGGTGCTGAGGGCTTCCTTCACTCTGACCAAGTGAGGTTCTTTCGGCAGTGAGGGCCTCAGTGTGCTTCCCTGGTCCAAAACTACGATGGCAGTGGGGAGGGTAACTTTAGTTAGCACTATAATGTAATACATTTCTATTTTTCAAAATCATGGAAGAATGGTTGTTTGTTTAGGCTTCTTGGAATCTTTTAATGGCAGAAACCACTTAGTAATTTCATGTCTTAACATACATTTGCAGTAAAATAAAACACAGAGGACCAAGACGTCCTATCCAAGGTCACGCAAAATTGAATACTCTGCTAGAACAGTTATCACATATATTAAAACAGGTCACAGATTTTCAAAGAAATATATGAAAATATAATTAATGCTAAAACCAAGCCTAATGCCATTCAGTCTTTGTGTTTCAGACTTTCAGTGACTTTTTGGTGCCTGAGGGTTACAGTGAGCAGCCGACAGAGCAGACAACAAAACTCAGCAGTTGCTGTTTTGAATAAATTTTTCATATTAACTTTTAAACTTGTCATTTGTGGCCTTATCATAAAAGATACAAGAATATATAGGATGTCAAGTTATTTAAGATTGTTTGTTGTTTATATCACAGATAAGAGAGTATTTACCTTGGTAATGTTCTCTGATATATGAAGTTAATACTACAATCTCCATTACTAGGCCCAGCTGTCTGAGAGTAGGGTTATGTAATCCAATTGCCTTCTTTCTTTTCTATCATTTCTTCCTATTTAAGATGACATAAGATATGTATTGTTTGTGCCCGAGTTTGGACATGTGGCCAAGTGGATTTAGCCAGTTGTCTCTCAATAGAGGTTAGGAAAGAACAGGTTTCACTTCATTATATTTCACCTGGACAGACCTGACGACACATTCACAGTCCTAACAGACTGCTTCTGTCACTAAATCTCTTGCCCGAACTTTCTGAACAAAAACCGCTAACAACTCGTATTAGTTTAGATAATCTCTTGTTTGTAAGAAGCATGACCAGGTAATTTTTGAAGGAAGGTTATCCCTAGTTTGCTGATTCTTGACCTGGGTCATTTGGGTCCATGTCTGCTTGCGGCTTCTGTTCATCTGTACAGAAAGCAAGGTCCCTGGGCTCACACTGGGCCCCTGCATCTTGAGCTGTTCATTCAAAATGGCTCTCCTGAGTTGCCTATGTTTGATGTTTAGAAATAACTTCCTCCTAACATTTGGTCTCAGTGGAATGTAGGAGGGAATATTTGTACAAATTAGGTGAAGTCTTATCAGGGATGTCCTAGTAGCCTCTTTTCCCTGGGAAGAAGACTTTCATTTTCTACACTATATTCCCGGATTTTTAAACTGTAAAGACTACTTCCAATTATACTGGATGGCAGGGATGGCCCATGACTCAAGTGAATACTGACCACACAATTCTTTTTTTAAAAAATTAATTAAGTTTATTGGGACATTCTAGGTATACATAATAATCACATTCATCATAGGGAATTTTTACCTGTGCATGATACATCTTCTTTTATTTTCCCCTTCCCCTTCCCCTACCCTTCAACCCCTCTTCCCCTCATTTACAAAAGCTTTCTTCCCATTTTCTCTTTTTTTCTTTTGCCTTCTTTCCTTTCCCCCTTCCTCTACCTCGTTCCCCTTCCTAATTGAACATTTTCTTCCTGTTTCATAATATCTATTACACATTTTAGTCCTTATTTACCCTTTGGGTTTCTCATACCACAGAAACAATATGATATTTATAGATGATCCACACAATTCTTTTATTTATTTATTTAATTATTTGATACCAGGAATCAAACTCAGGACCTTGTGCCTCCCAGGAAGGTCCTGTGCCACTGAGCTATATCCCTGGCCCCACACAATTCTTACTGTATTTCAAGTGTCTCATCATTCGTGTGTCATTGTATAAATACTGATGTAGCCCTTGCTTATTTTGTAACAATATCTTGACAAATAGCTCTCCCTAACTCAATGTGTTTTTACCTGGGCCATCAAACAATCTTATTTCATCAGAGCTTCACTTCTGTTTTTTTTGTTGTTGTTGCAGGCAATAGTAGGTACATAGGGAATTTTCTACCAGTTTTCTCTTTGCCCCATCTATTCATTTGTGTGTGTGTGTGCGCGCGCACGCGTGTGTGCGTGCGTGTGTATATATATAT